ATCTATCTATTTATCCTACCTCTTACTGTTACAGACATAAAAACAGATAAACACAAATATACTCTGAGCATATTTGTCAATGATTTTCTGATTCAAAGAATAAATGTCTTGAGGAGGATAAACTGCTCATATTACACATTACACAAGGGATCATCTCACAGTATCAGCTTCTCTGAGGTTTAAGATAAAAATCCGTGTTAAATGAAAATTTCCACTGAACCATTTGAATCTTGTTTTACAAACATGTTACACTGGCTCCCCTCTGTGGACATCAGAGTATCAGCAGCTGAATCTTGAGTTTTCATAGTGAATCAATGACAGACTGTGTTGGCTCAATATTAAATCTGATATTTATATACATACATGCTAGAGACACTGTCTGTGAGAAAACGGTTTCTTAAACACCAACATTTGAAACAGAAAATTTGAACCTACATCATCACAACCACAATCGTTGACAAAGGTGCAACATTAAACTTATAAGTAACCTTGAGGTATTCATGTTAGCAAGAGGTCTGTTTCCACGTAACTCACAGTCACAGCAGTAGAAGTAGATTAAAGATAACTTTTACAAACCTACAGCATGAACCTAAAAAATCAATCAATCAAATGAAACAAATAAAATAACAGGGACAATCACTATATACATCTACACAAATAGTAACAATAAAGACAAAATGACTTCAGAAAAGGAATATCAACACAAAGGTTGCTCTGATTAAGCTTGGAGCAGAATGTCAAAGATAAAATCGGAGGCCTTCTCCCACTGTGGTCCTCTCTATATAAAGACATTAGTGATGCAGTGGCTGCAATGCTTTAATACCATCACACACACAAAACACTCCAGATCAAACCATCAGAAAACTACAGTTGTTTTTGCTCCATTTTAGTCTTTACAGTAAACAGGTGGACAAATGAACAATGCTGGGGGGATGCTATAATTACAGCTGTAGTTATAATTATGGAACTTGGCTGCTAGATGAGTCCTGAACGTCCTGAATCACTGATCCTGAATCTCTCCCTCCTTTTTCTCTCCTTCTCTCACTCTCTACACTCTCACAGCTCGGTCTGTCTCTACCTGTTGCATGTTCCAACTTAGAAATGATCAATTTTACCATCTTGATCAGTTTTAAGCAGCTTTTTTTAATCTAACATTGAATAGCTCACAAACAACATAGACACTTTAGGGTATCAGAACAAAGGGATTATTACGTAAAGAGGGCACAATATGAATGTGGATCCAGATAGCATACAGATGTGGGCCACTCCACGCAATGATGCACTTCTTCCAGCCTTAATGTGGCCTGAACAAAATGGATGTGACCCTAAAGTGGCCCATATGTGAGGGTCAAAGAGGGGAAGGTGATAGTGCCATGTGGGCTGAATGTGGGGTGGGGGGTATGTGCCTCGTCCGGTTGGGTTGAGGTTAATTGTGTCGTTGTCATATTTAAACTGTGTGGAATTGGTTGTTGTGATTAATCACAGTGAAACTTTGTGCTTGTTATTCTGACAGTAGAATAAAACGTCGCCTCCTCCTCCGCAGCTCCAGCCTGTTTCCTCCAGCCTGTAATATGACTCAGTGAAAACGGGGCTGGGCCTGACTTCACTCGGCTTCCACCAGCAGACTAGCCCGGCCCTTCAGGTCCCGGAACAGGTTGCACCGCACACACACACACGGGTGGGGCTTCGTCAATCCAGCGCCCACTAACTCCACCCGCCGAGTGCTTCCGCAAAGACGCACAGGACGCGCAACAAGTCGGACCGTGTCTCTCACTCGACGGTGATCCCTTCCGCCTCTGTCCGCTCCACACGCCGCCAATCGCCGCTCACAATGTTCCGCTGCGGGATCGCCTACCCCCGGTGCAGGTGGATCGTCCCCCTGCTGCTGCTCTTCGCCATTATTTTCGACATAATCGCCATCGCCGCCAGCTCCGGGTGGGTGGAGGACGAGGACGCCAAGTCGCACTACGCCAGCATGTGGGAGCAGTGCCGGGGCAGGAACGAGCACTGGCAGTGCAAGTCGCTCATGGAGTTCCGTAAGTGTCCGGTTACACCGTGGGATACAAACACACTCACAGAACACACTGATAATAGCATGACGACAGAGAGGGGTGCGTGTTCTAACAGGGCTGATCCAGAGCAGGTCTCACTGGGATGTTAGATTCTACATTCACACTCTGTAACCGGAGGGACTCGAACTGTGTCCACAGAAACAAACAAACAAACCAACCAACCAACAGGAGCTCCAGGCTGAGCAGAGAGAGGCCTGCAGCTCTCTGACTGAACTTTGGTCTTCAGGCAGCTTTCATTTTTTTCTATTGGACTGAGTTTCTGCCTCATTTCATGTCTAGTGTTTGTGTCAGGGTGTTTCACAGGAATCCAAATCCTCAATGTCAACTTCTCACAACTAATTCAAACAGTGACCTCCTCCCCCACAGAACTAACATCCTCCACTGTAGGACAGGACTGGGTTCTACAGGCAAAACTCAATACAAGTAAAGTTTAAAACAGAGTTGTGGTGATGTCTTTGGTGATTTTTTTTTTGTCTTCTGCTCCACGAGACTACGACAGAACTTGTGCTTTACTAGTTAAGCAAGTTTGTGAAATGTGACAAAAGAAAACGCTTGATTGACGCAGTAGGATGAACCAAAAACACACCTTCCAAGTCTGTGGGAATTTACTATTTCCAAAATCGCAATGTCAATTTACCAAGGCTGTAAAGTTCTTGTATTTTTTTGTAATAGTGTGTCTGTTGGCTTTACAGGTACAAAACAAGGAACAAGTTCCCACAACTACTTCATATAAAGTCACCCCTCCTCATATGACGTCATTATCCTGTACTGTGGGGAATGATAATTAAGGTTTTGTAGGCTAATTCAAAACGAGTCAAGTTAAAATACAGAAATAGTTATTTATACAATTTGAAACCTGTTTTTATCTCAAATTTTGATAAGAAACAGATCCAGATAAAAACCTATAACCAAAATAAATAAATAACTTATTATTTATAACATTAATTTGAAGAAACAGTTTTCAACACAATGTAAAGGTGTGTCCCTTCATATATATCAATTCCCTAAAGATGCCAGATGGTATGAAAATGGTGACAGTGTTGAAAAATCTATGTTAAAGAAAGTGAAATGAAGTTCCCAAATGTATCGGGTTCTTTTCCCGACCACGTTGCATCCTTCCTCCAAGTTTCGTGAAAGATTCGCTCAGTTGTGTTTGTGTAATCTTGCTTCAAACCAAACCAACAATCGGACAGGGATGAAAAAATAACTTCCTTGTCGGAGGCAGCATTCTACGGATAACTGTAGACACACTACTAGAGGAACAGGCTTTTTCTTTTTTAAGTAGCATAAAGCTGAACACCTCAGGCAGACTTTGAATATTTGAAATTGTTTGTGATCTACACCCCACGCACAGAGAATGAGAAGCAGATAGATTCTTTTCACAGCAGCCATTTTGACATGAAATGATACGTAAACATGTGTATCTTCATTAAAATCATGTGTTCACCTGCTGATTTATGTCATAGTAACTTAAAAAGGTCAGTGGGTTTAGTTTTAGTAGTGGTGTTGATACAGCAATAAAGAGAAAATAAAATTAAATGACTAAACAGGAAGGGACATTAAAAAAAAGTATCTATCACTTTGAACAGAACAGACAAAGTCACTGACAAAGACAAAGACAACACTGTTGTTGCTCTTATCAGATGTTGTGGAAGTGTCTGAGCGGCACCTCGACCCATTTTATGATCTTCAGAACACGTCAATGAAACTCCCGTCTTTCTTTTTATCTGATGATTTTCACAGGTTTGCTCACTCCGTGTTACAGGTTAATAGCGTCAATGCTTCTATGGATTCCTCAGTCAAAGCTCTGATCACCCATTATTCTCAATAGTAGTAAAGATTCTAGGTTTGTGATTTATGGCTGTTTAAACCTCTGCACTAACTGAAGTGCTTTGCCAACTCCTGGACACTATCTGGTCCGCAAATCAATTTGATCTAATAGAGTGCAGAGTAGGGCAGCACTGTTAAGTCACTTAATTAAATATCAAAATAAAATTAACCTTGCAAATATATTGATAGTTGATTAATAGTCTACGCTCCTTCTCAAGCAAAATGTCAAATGTTTGATTTTGTTCCAGGTTTTAATGCATGAGAGTTGGTTGATTTTTGTTTCCATTAAATTGGCCAAACTGGAATCGCTTCATTCAAAAGAGTATTCTGAATAGAGAGATGTTCTTTAGCTTCACTATCTTCAGAACTAGAGAATCCTATCAGTGATTATCAGTGTTAGTTCTTCCAATGTAAACTGTTGTGGAGGCATTAGTTCCTGTTAGTGTGTGAGACTTCACGTCGTGTTTTTCAGGAATTCTCTGGTCTCGCTTGAAGTCGTAGATCAAGAGGTTTTCTTTGTGGGAGCTGCTGCCGTTTCAGTCTCAGCACAACTGAAGCAGTTGAACAAAAGACGGCCGCAGCTGCCAAAAGGCCATGGGCTGGATCTGTGAAACATTTTCTCTCTGAAGCTCCCCTGATAATTCTTGTATCACGGCTCTTTCCTGAATAGTTATGAAGGTTTTTATGTTCTGAACTAAAAAACGGAGGAAACAAACTTGAACAGCGCAATCGATGGTGTGCGGATGTAGGACGTGGTGAATGTTGGCACCAAACAGACTCAATGTGTTCAGTCTGCCCCAGGTGGGAAAGCTGCAGCCTTTTAGTGAAGAACAGGAATAAACATGTTTTCATGTGTTGGCATCACGGAGGAAACATGTGGAAGGTAGATCATTACTGGATTCATATATATTCTTGCTAGAGTCTGACCCATGTGGTTTTTTGGGGATTGAAGCAGATAAAAACGTTTTCTATACTGATATATCGGCCGAAAACGTCATGGCAACATTCGTGTATCACACAAACGATTGTTTTCCGTGTTTGTTCCAAGTTCCTGCTCCCAGTTGAATAATTGTCTGGTATTGTGTTCAAAGTTTGGCTGCTGATGTGCTGTTCGGTGGGAGGGGCGGACCATGTGTAAAACAATGTTAGAGATTAGTCTATTCAGGATTGTTAATGTGGTTTCTTTACAACCAGGGATTTTTTTTTCTTGCTTTAAAAGTTATTAAAACGATCATTTATCAGAATTGTTGTTTTTGTTGATTTGCTGTCCATCTACTAATGGAGCAACAGTTTCAGGTCTGAAACACATGTGATCACAGGAGATTTTATCACATCACCAACTCCAATGTGTCACTGAATTCCAGTCGGCTCAGTTGAAACTGAAATTGAACATTTCATAATGAAGTAAAGTAGATACTCCTCAAAGATGAATGTATGAAACGACTGGCTCTGGTATATGAGTGAGTCGGCGTGTATTTACATTTGTGGAGAGAAAAAAAAAAACAACCTTGTAATTGTACTGATTGTGTAAAAGCTTGTGAATGCGGCCTGATATCTTTAGTTTTGATCAGACGAGGGAAACAGATGATCGAGACCGGCAGTTTGAATGTTCACCTGTGACACACACAGGCACACACACCCATTTCCATAGTACACAGAACATTCCCAGGCTTACAGTGGAAACAAGCACGGGCATGAGGGATACAATGCAACAATGCTAAGCTGTAGGGGACACAAACATTTTGATGTGGATTGACACCAAACTACACACACTCATAGATATCAGTCCAGTGAAATGAACAAAAACACCCTATTTTGCGATGCCGAAAAGAAATTCCTGAATCTGCCGCCAATCTGGAGCCTTACCAATATGGGTTCTTCCCTGTTGCATAACACACCCTTAGACCAAGTTTTCTGTTCATAGTTTCTGCGTAATCTTGTTTCCCAACAAACAAATGGAGATAAACTTCTAAGAATGCAATGGAAATGTTTCTAGTCAGTGACCTCAAACAGTGCAGTGAAGACACATCTTGGTTTATTAAACTGTTTTTAGATCCACCGCAATATAATTTGAAAAACCACAGTTGAAATGCGAAGCTAATTCTATTCAGCATTTAGTTTTTATCACCATGTTTGTTTTAGGAGCAGAACCTGTTTCAACAGAAATACACAGACGAAACATTCACTGAGAGTTTGTTGATGCTTTTGGTGTAGCACGCTGATTTCTGCAGTTATGTGATTGTTATATAAATGTTGTGTGGGACAGTCAGAGATTTGCTTTGCAGCTGAAATCATCGGCATGCTATGCTGCTGGACTGTTTCATCACTGTTAAATAAAGGAAACAGTGACGGTGGCTGCAGTTTGTCTATTTAAATCAGCGTGTTGTGGGTGGGTGTCTGGCTGTGGTTAAGATATCGACTCTAGAGAGGTGATATTGTTTTGTGATCATTTAATTCGTTATTCATAAAATCATCGAGCAAAAAAAGTTAATTACGGATGAGATTCATTTCAAATCAAAACAGAAATGAATAATTATTTTAACATGTTTTAAAATCTGTGTTTGAAGAGCTGTTACCTAAAATCTGTAATAGTGGATTTCATCATGTTGAAGCTCAGGTTGAGCCTGAGTTTGTTGTAATTTGACGTAAAAGTTGCAGAGTTCACGCTAGAATGAAAAGCTTGAATGCCACTTAACATTATTAGGAGTAAAAGAAAGGATTGAACCTGTCGAACTAGTGTGTTTGTGTGTGTGCATGAGCATGATAAGAGGAGTGCCTCAGGCTGGTAGAAAGCAAGTTTCTTACACACACAATTGCACGCACGCTGACACAGGTGTGAATAATTTAGGGTGTTGGCTGATCCAGTGTAAGCGAACTGGGTGTGACAGTGTGAAGAAAATCCACACGGTGGGTTTGGCTTCAGTCACCCACAGAAGACACGTTAGGATTATCTGCACAAGTTTGTTACGCATAACTATGATCACGCGTATACTGAGAAAACTCAACCTGCACTTTTAGGTGATAACTAACGCAAAAGACGGTTTTTATTTTAGTTTCAGAGGTCATGTGAAACACTCAAAATGTGTGTTTTTTGAAGCTTGAGATGTTTCAGAGCAAAAATCACTAAAGCCGACATGGTAACAGCCTCTTTTTCTCCTGCAGCGATAGATACAGAAGCTAATAAAATCATGCTGTTGCAGTTGTTTGCTTTAAACTTTGTCGTCGCCACAAGTTTCTATGTAATTAAAGAGGCCATTTCTGCAGAAAGTCGGGGAGTGACAGAGAGCAGAAGTGCTGTGAAGGGTGTGGCGGCTCTTCTCCCCCTCTGTCGATATCAGCTGGAAGCTCGCTACGCTTGAGGAATGTGCCGTCATGTATAAATGCTGTAGGGTTAGAGAGAGGGAGATCGTTGGAGCTGCAGAGATGAGTACAGAGCAGGAAGACGTGTTGCTAGAGAGAAACTCATTTAAAGTCAGAAACAAGGCTTTAAAAAACCTACATAATAAGAAGAAAGAAAGAAATGCCCTGTCAGTCAAGCACTGTCCCTAAAGGCACCTTTAGTTTCCATTACAGACAGCCAGTATTTCTATTTGGTAAATTTCTGGCATTTTGCCTTTATTAACAAGATAATACGTGTTGAGTGGGGCGAGAGATCAGGGCGGAGGGCCGAGTCGCAACTGAACCCACAGCTGCTTGAAGGAGACTCAAAATTCAGTACGGGGAGCTCCCGCCAGGTCACCTGTTAGTGCAGACGTCCCGATTTCTAGCATGTTTTAGGAAAATATAAAAACATCAAGTTGTTTTATCTGACCTGAGTAAAATCTGAAGTTTCTTCTTACTGACAGTACCATTGTCTGGACTGTGGATGATGATGTTTAGAGAGTTCAGGAAGGAAAGTTTTAAAAAGAAAAGAGCTGTGTTACCATCGTTTCAGGATATAAATGCCCTAGCTAATACATGAAATGTTTATAGAAGCCTAAAGGACGTAAAGAGAACCAATCTATAAAATTCATGTGAACTACACACAGCATGTGACTCATTTGTTGTTTTGTTTGTGTTGGACTCCAGCTTGGGCCCAGGCTGTGGCTGCTCTGATGATCATCGGCCTCATCATCCTCATCATCGCCTTCATCATCTCCTGCGTGGCTCTGTGCTGCTCACTCAACTTGAGCCTTATGCCCCTCATAGCAATAATGTTGATTGTTGTCGGTAAGACACACACACACACACACACACACACACACACACACACACACACACACACACACACNACACACACACACACACACACACACACACACACACACACACACACACACACACACACACACACACACACACACACACACACACACACACACCATTTAAGAGATAAACTGGTTTTCATTAAATTCACTGTTGGTTTAGTCATGTGTGTGTTTGGGTTTCACCAGACTGAGTCATCAAGGTCAAACCGAGACCCAGAGACTAACGGTGTAACAGGTGTTGTAAGAGCGACGTAGACGTGTGCACTTCTGACACAGAAAGAAGAAGAGACAAAGGAAGTGGATAAATTCAGAAAGTGTCTCAGACATTTTTCGATGGAAGGGAGTGTGTGACGTTACCATGGGAACAGCTGGCTCTATCTGTTTATCTGACTGACTCATCACAAACACACAGCTTTTCACTGGAAGCCAGTCATAACTGACAGACTCTGTGATGTGTCTGTCAGTGTGCCAGAGACGGTTCACCTCACTCTGCACTCTGAAATCTGCTCCAATCAGAAACCTGACAGAAGAATATTAAGAGGGAAAACTGGGATCATAACCACACTGACTCACTCTCTGTGGTTCCTTCCGCTCACCAGTTATTAAAAAATAATATGTGTTTGATCTGTGGAGCAGATAAATCAAACCAACATTGTATCACAGTTAAATGAGGTTTACTTGGATGAAATGTTAAAACCCACGACTGTGTTTTTATGGCTGCACCATTTCATGTTTCAGATATTTCTTGTGCATATTTGTATTAACAACCCAGATTTAAATGTTGGGTTCTCCATGATCCAGCACTTCAGTGGGTGTGTAGGTTTTATTAAGTTTGATTTTCATATCAGTCAATTTAAAAATCCACATTAAAACCAATTATGTTAGTGTAGCGAAATATAAATTTCAGCTTGAGAGCCTTAAACATTTTGCAGGTGGAGGGATGCCACAACCAAAAAGAATTCAAAAATGTGTTTGTTATTTGCAAAGACCATAACTGAGCTGCACAGATGAGTGTGTCCCTAACCTTGTCCATCTGTGTCTCCCTGCAGTGGTCCTCCAGGTCATCGCTCTCATCATCTACCCCGTCAAATTCAACGAGCAGATCTTTGAGGGCCACTACTACTACACCTGGGCCTACGGCTTCGGCTGGGGCGCCACCATCCTCTGCATCGGATGCAGCATCCTCTTCTGCTGCCTGCCGCGCTATGAGGACGAGCTGTCCGGCCTGGCTAAGGCCAAATACATCTACCAGTCCACTTAGAGACTAATCCTGCACACCCACCCAGTCGCAGCCACGTCCGCTTAACACTCTGAGCTGGATGTCCCGGCCTTCAAACATTTTTTACTCTGTTCAATTTCATTGAATATTCACGATGCTACAAACCTCGTCTACCATCCGAGAGCGAAGTCCGAAGTCAGGCGTGATTTTTAGCGGAAGTGGGCTGTGATTGGATGTTGCGACCGCTTTAATTTACTGACTTCTAGTTTTTAGTCAGCGTCATTAATGTTTTTTTAACCATAGTATTTTTTCACATTCTGCGTTTGAAAACCTTTCCCTCACTTTTTACCTGTAGTTGTCAATGCAAGATCACCCAAGTGCACTTAACCTGAGGGACATCTTCAAGTGAAGAGCTTAGTTTCATCCTGATTTATCTTAGTGCTCATAAAACTTTGGTAAAACAATAATCAGAGCTAAACTTTTTACACTACAATACTAAAGAAATCATTAATCCTAATTTGGAAGCTGAATGTTATCTATACATATGGTCATATATGTAGATTTAGCTCATTTGCACCTTTTTATGCATCTTTCTATAATTCTCATTTGCTTTCTCCAAATCTTTGAATTCTTACTGACTTAATACCAAAGGGGTATCACTGTGGAGTTAGCTGTGCTGTCTTTGTCCCTGTTTCTAACACTACTATTATTATTCTTCATGTGTCTGCGCGGAGGTGTGATGGTTGATATGATAGCGAGGAGGAGGCGTGTGAATTTTCTGACTTGGCTGCAGTTGTTGTTTCTAATTTTTTTGCTGGAAAAGAATTTTGATGAGTTTCAATTTAACTTGAGAATTAATCTGTTTTCCTGAGAACGAATATTTCCTTCAAGGGATCAGTTCATGTAGAATGTGTACCATGAGTACAATATTGCCACAACGGTCCAAATGTATGTCCTTGTCAAAAATGTGGGTTTAAAGGGAACAATACAAACTCAGACTCTCATCCTGTGTTTTCCATGTCTTTGCTTCGAAGTGGGTGCATATTGGAGAAAAGACCAAAAATATTTGAATCACTAAAAGCATTCATGTTTTGATAACAAGACTAAAGCCATTGTCTGGTTTGATGAGACTATGAGACAGAGGTATTAAATCTTCAGACGAACTTGTTCCAACTTCTTCTTCTGCAGCTGTGTTGAAGGTTTTATCAAAGTGCTCAGTCTGGTTCTCTGGACTCTGACTTGTTCACAGTTACATTTGTGTTCAGACCAGGTTTGTGCCTGAATATAATGATAATTGTTTTATTACAGTAGCGTTCAAAGGGAAGATCTGTGACTGATCTTAGATTAGTGGCAAGTTGACGTAGATTCAACAGAGGCAGGACGGATTCAGGCAGGTCTACACTTGAAGGAACTCTCTCTCTGTGTGTGTGTGTGTGTGTGTGTGTGTGTGNGTGTGTGTGTGTGTGTGTGTGTGTGTGTGTGTCTCAAAGGTGAAAACGTACTTTTATCTACAGAGTGAATCTGTTTCCAGCTCCAACTTCATTAGTGCGTGTTTCGGTAAATACTGTCGCCTTTCATCCTCTTCCAGGAATCAACCAGTTCTTTTCTGCTGTAGTGTGAACTGATAATTTTTTTGTAGTCTGTATATTTTTATTCAATAAAAAATTACAGTATTTTGAAGGGTTTGATTGATTATTATTTTGTTAGATACTTTAGATAGATCGGGGAGAAAAGGAGGAGAAAAAAGAAAAAGGGGTTCTGCGAATATGTATGTGTGCAAATGTTGTCTTGTCTCCACTGGGGGATAAAATAATTAAGTTTCTCATGGGTGCAACATTGAATTTAAAGTATTATAGTTGTTATTTAAAGTTGTAGAGAGAACTGTGTGAGCGACAGATCTATTAAAAGTACTGAAATTTGAGGACACTAGGCACTTAAATGTTTACAGGACTGTTTCAATGTCGTTACTGAACAAAAGAGACGATTGAGAGTTGACAGTTGTCTTAAAATGGAGGTGGAGTTGTCTGTCAGCAGTAGCAGTGAAGAAATGATCATGTCAGTGAAGAAGACTATAAATCTCTCAGATATCAAGTGTTGCTTTGCCAAAATCAAAAATGTTCTAAAACAATAGGTGCATGTTGGAAGCAGTAAGAAATGACAAATTGCCTGCTAAATAAGAACAAGTCACAAGCACAGTGGATCAAGAATGCTCTCCAGGATGTAGGCATGTGTTTCCTCATTAACGGTCAAGTGAGGTAAACCTCAAAGAGAGAAGGGATGCAGTCTGGACAAAGGCGAGGAAAGGAGAAACAAAACACAGGAAGAGCTCAGGACTAAAGCCAATAATCTGTTTTACATGGCGGTTCTGTTACTTGGCTGCTTATAGATGATTCCACCACTGGATGAATGCACAGACATACAGGAGCTCACATGCTTTGAATCCCATCGGACAAAAGTTTCACAAAAAACATGGACATATCAACCGAAGAGTCAATATCATCTGAAAAGTCAAGTCAATCACGTGATGCCAGTTTGAATGAGCTGGAGGCAGTTGCAGTGAAGGCCTCTGACAAAGATAGTTTAGACACCATCAGTGTCTCCCACCCATTTCTGAAGAAGTGGACTTGTGCGTTCCAATACTCAAAGGGATCGTCAACACACTCACATAGTTCACAAACAACACACAGATCCACAGATGTGAGTCAAGATTAATGACGCCACACACACACCCAGAGAGACACACCCAGGGACAGGCTTGCTGAGTATGAGACTTTGCTCAGCGTGTCGTGACAGCTCTGGTTTCTCTATGAGGGGAGTGGAGGGAATAACATGAGGGTGAGAAATACTGTAAAGGGGAGAGGAGGGCAGATAGATGGAGAGAGAGAAGGGAAAGAAATGAAGCAAGAAACAAGCAGAGGAGGAAAATCGAAATAACTTCAACGATAACAATAATGGAATATTTGCTTCTAAACTAATGTGACCTAAGTAGGATTTTTTCACTTTTGATTCATGTGACAAGTTTCTGCATCAATCTTTAATATCTTCTTGGTTCTTTTAGCCTGAAGTGACTGTTTTGTCCTGTTTAAAATCCTACTCTGACAGAGACAAGTGTCAAATCATCACCTTTGGAAAAAGGGTCCAGCAAACATTTGGAATTGTTGCTGAGAAAGTAGAATGAAATGCTGCTAGAATATCAAAAATATTTGACGATTAATTTAACTGTAGGTCGACTAATTGATTAATTTATGAATCGTTATGAGAAAAGGTCTTTGAGGAAGGCTCTATCTGATTCCATTCATCCACTTTAAAGTGTTTGTGTAGCTTCCCTCAGGTCGGAGATTCCCTCGGACTAAAAGATTTAAAAGATCATTTTTCCTGCTACAATTGTTCTTTTAAATTAGTCTATGGGGTGTTTACATTGTGTTTATTTACATTATTATATATTATCTGTTCTTGTCGTGCACTGATTGCTGGAACCCAACCGCCAGCAGAGGGCAGTCTCAGGATATCATATGGAAATTAGCAGCAGCAGCAGAAGCTTCCGCCTTTTTGAAATTTAGCAGCAAAGATCCAGGAATTTGTTGTTGTTGTAGATTAGTGCAGTAGTGAGGCATCACCTGGTCTGTGCATGAAGTATAATCCAAACTTTTTCTAAAGTTTCTAAATTTGAGAGTAAAAAAAAAGGGGGTTGATCGGTGGGGGTCTGTCTCCATCAGACATTCCCGATAGTTGTCTTAATGCAACGGTGTAATCATTCAAAATTAAACTCAAGCAAAAGTATAAAAGAATTAACATCAATAATATACTTAAAATACCCCAAATAAAAGTACTTATTATGCAAAGCTGACCATTTCCCCCATGATATAGAGTTTATTTGTTGATTATATTTTACATTATTAATCTGAGTCAGAAAAGTAACAATTATAAGATAACTGTAGTAAAGTAAGAAGAAGAATATTTCCATCTTCATTTGTAAAATAGAAGTAGAAAATGACAGTAAATGTGCTTTGCCTGTGTTTTACCTGTACCTCTACATGAAGGCCACTAGAGATCAGGCATGACTGCTGGTACTTCTGGCGCTCCAGAGCCAACTCTCCTCTCTCCAGGTCAACTACACCTTTAACCCCCTGAGTGAAGACAAACGTGAGGATTAAACCATGTAAAGTTAGAGTCAGCCCTCACCCTTACACTAAGCTGTGCCAAGTGACTGTTATAGGGGGTTGGTTTCGATCCGCCTCCGAGGTGCTTTCCACCAAGAAGAAGAGCTCGTAGAACATCGAGATGTTCCCCTCAACAGTTCTCTTCAGGGTTCTCCCCGCGTTTCTGCCACCTCATATCGGGATGGGCCCCAAGGCTTTTGGGGCTCTGGGTTCAGAAGTCACTCCGAGGGACTGGCCACACCGTCAGAACACAAGAGACGTATGAGTCTGGAGTTATGTCTTCTGAGGCCTGTACATGAATGTTAAGTACCTGGGTTACCAGTAGAAAACCATGAACTCCAATCGTCCCATGAGTTGTTTTATCACAGGAGGAGAAAGTGCTGTCAACGTGAGAAACTATTACAGAGCTCACACACACACTTTGGGATATTTTTGCTTTGTACACTATATGTAGTAAAGAAGAGAGGATAGAAGTGACATCCGTCCCATAGATTCAACCACAGATACCTGTATTTGGCGTATACACACCAACTGAGTCATAAGGTTACTGCAACTTTTCTGAGTAAAGCACATCACTGCTACTCAGGAAAAGTGCTGATGTCACTTTGTTTATTTTTTCCCTGTTAGTCAGACTCAACTCATATTTGAACAAGTTTCTAAACATTTTGCCCGTAACCTCCGCTTTCTTTAAGAGATGATAAAGACACATATAACATCAACATGACGGAGGGAGGACCTAAGCAATAGATATGGAGAGGATTTGATTATATATTATTATTGTTGTTGAAAAAATACATTCAAACATGAACCACAGCAAACATGACCTAACACAACTCACATTTCAAACTGAATCCAGCCACAAATATGTATAATTGCAGTGTGAGACAAGGAGCTGTCCTTGGT